AAGAAGAAGAAGAAGAAGATAGCAGGAGGGGAAGAATGAAGGGGGGGGAATCAGAGGGGGAGATGAACCATGAGAGACGATGGACTCTGAAAAACAAACTGAGGGTTCTAGAGGGGAGGGGGGTGGGGGGATGGGTTAACATGGGGATGGGTATTAAGGAGGGCACGTTCTGCGTGGAGCACTGGGTGTTATGCACAAACAATGAATCATGGAACACTATATCAAAAACTAACGATGTAATGTATGGTGACTAACATAACAATAAAAAATTTAAAGTAAAATAAATAAATAAATAAATAAATAAATAAATAAATAAATAAATATGGGTCCCTCCTTAAGCCCTTCCTTCTCATGTTAGAAGGGACGAAATGAGGCTCAGAAATATAACTTGTCCAAGACGGCACAGCGGGTGAGTGATGGAGCTGGGACTCCAACCCAAATCATTTTCCTGCTTGCTGAGGCCAAACCTTGGACACCGCAAATCCCTGGGTGGGGGGTGGCTGGGGGGGCGGGGCTTGGGCGGTGCCTGGGGACGGAAGGCATCTTAAACGTGCTCAATGTGCTCACACCATGTGCTGCCCAGCCTAGTCTGCAGGGAGGGAACCCAGCCAGCAGTTTGGGGAACTCGCTGGCTCCAGCACACGGTCCCTGTTTCCCAGCCCCCCTGCCCCTTGTACCCCAGCTGTCCTGACTTCACCCAGTGCTCACCTCGCAGTGTCTTTAAATAAGACTGCAGCTTGGAGGACACGGAACTGGTCACTATCTGGCAGATCTGGAGAGAACCAAAGAAGTGATCAGTGAGGGCCGCCCTTAATGGAAACTGTCCTTTGGGAATAAGGAACCTGACATGTTTTCTTTTCCTTGAATGTTTCTTTGAAGGAGGGAGGGAGGGAAGGGAGGAGGGAGGGAGGAAGGACAGAAATGTAGGAGGGAGAACATTGGTTTCCTAGAGTGTTTCTATCACACAAGATGTGTGACTCTGCACGCCCCAAGAATATCATCCTCTAGGAGCCTGTGACTCTGCCACATGGCCCAGGGGTGAGGGGGGCAGCACATCTGGGAGCTAGGGCCCGGCTGAACACCTGGGCTACTGCCTTCCGAGGCCACTCACCCAGGAGGGCCACCAGATGGCTCCAAACCACAGCAAATCACACCACAGCCTGGAGCCCATCTTCCTGCTACAGCCCCTCTATGCTCCTTCCTACCTGCCCTCCCCCCCAGCCCCCCTCCCCACAGACACACAGAGCATCCCTCAGACACCTACTCTTCGCTCTGCATTCCTGGGGAGCCAACTGCCCAGCTCACTCCTCTTCATTTCTAGTTCTTGCTACTATCATGGATACCCTGACTTCTCCTTTATCCATCCATCCGTCCATCCATCCATCCATCCATCCATCCATCCATCCATCCATCCATTCAGCCAGCCACTCAAGCCAGCACTGTCTTCTAAAGAATATCTTATTATGATTAAGAGCTTCACCTCTGAGGTGGGATGGCCTGGGTTTGAACCTCAGTACTATCACTTCCCCCTCGGTGCCTCAGTTTACTCATTTGTAAAATGGGGAAAATCATGACCCCCGCCACCGGTCATAAGGATTTTGTGTGGATTAGGTGCCGGGATCCTTGTAGAGTTCTAGGCATTGTGCCGAGCCCACCCCATATACGTAGTGCCCTCTCGCGCCTTCTCCCCATCACCATTGCTATCTGACAGCAGTGCATTCGTACTTTTTAGCTTGGCTGCTTTTGGGGGGCCACTCTTATGGTGTTACCAAGAAATACTCTCTTTTGATAGTTCCGGTGCTAAATGCTAACATTCTCCTCTTACTATTACTTAATTGCAAAGACAGTTGAACCATGGGTTAACCAGGCTGGGGGGTGAGCACACCACCTGCATTACCTCAGTAATCCTTCCGGCAGCTTGGTGCCAGAGGTATTAACGTCCTCATTTTGCAAATGGCGAAACTGAGGTTCTGATATTTGCTCAAGGTTACAAAGCTAGTTAGGCCCTGGGGCCAGAATTAAAACCCAGAGATTCTGACTCTGAAACCCATTCTATAATCTACTGTGTTATTATGCATTGTGACAACCATGCACTGTTTTTTTGTTTTAAGACTTTGGTAGAATGCCTTCAGACTGATGATCTGATTTGACTGATGTCTCCCTACCCCCATCGTTGGTGCCTTCGCCTGGAAACCCAGTGGCTCGCATCCAGAAGACCGTACAGCTTCCTCAGTCCCCCTGACATGCCCTGCCCCATCTTTTGGCCCCTCCAGTCATTCTCATGGCAACCCCAGAAATTTCTCTAAAACACAGATCTGGCCAGGTCACCCCCTTGCCTAAAATCTTCAATGGCTCCCCATTGCCCTTGACTCACTTGGCCTGTGAGACAGGCTCAGGGCATTCCTGGGAGCTAATGGTTCATTCATGGAAAACCAGGGCAAGGAATGGCCCCTTTTTCTCAACTGAAGAAGCTGGCCTGGGTGGATTTAGGGTAAGGGCAGGGTTGGGAATGCTGGTTGGCACCAGTCCCAGCCCTAGGGAATGGTTTGCTGGCACTCTAGCCTACCGGCTTCCTCAACTGCACGTCTTCCGTCTTCCGGGTGGGGAGCACCCAGAAAGGGGTTTGGGGTGTGGCAGGGATGGGGGAGGAGGCCGGAGGACTTTGAGAAGAAGCAGGGCGAGGCAGGAGAAGGCAGTTTGCCTGAAGGAAGGAATGTGGAAGGAAGAGCAGGGGTGGTGTAGCAGGAGTGGGGCGAGTCCGCTGAGGCTGTATGCTGGGACCCTTTCTTGGCTCTTGCTGGACTCCTCATGACTGGTTTCTAAGTTGGACCTGTGGTTTCAAAGAACTGTGAGGACCACAGAGGACTGGTCCTCTGGGGCGAGAGCCAAAGAATTCAGTGATGCATACACTGAGGCCTCCCCCCGCCCCCCGCCCGCTCTGTCGGTCTTACCTTGCTGGTCATGGTATTTCGGATCGAAGACTCTATTTTTTTGTGGAAGAGTTGTATCAGCCACCTGAAGATTGACATGTGGAGACATGCATGAGGCTTCCCAAGTGTCCCGGGGCTGCATTCGGGAGCCTGCCTCATGTGGGAAGCCTTCCTCCCCTTCTAAATACCCTAGGCACCCTTGTTCCTGGGCTTTAACCGCACACATACACCCCCATTAGATACTTGGCCCTCTGGGTGCAGTGACTCGTTTATGAGTTTATTTCCTCAATTGGTGCATAGCTGGACCCCCACCCTGTCTCAGCCTCTTTCCTTGTTACTGCTCTCACTCTTGGCACTCCCGCCACACTGTTCTGCTGTATCCTCTTGTGTTCTGTGCTGCCTCCCACCACAGGGCATTTGCACATGCTGTTCCTGCTGTTTAAAACACCCCCGTCCCCAACATCCACCTAATTAACTCCTACTTATTCTTTTCATTTCAGTTCAAATGTCATTTCATCAAGGAAGAACCAGCCAGCCTCCAGACTAGGTCAGATCCTCCTGTTCTATGTCTTCGTAGCACTTTGTGCCTCTTTTTCTTAGTTCTTATATCCTTTTGTAATTCACTGTGAGCCATTCACCAGCGCAATGGTTTGATTAATGTTTATCTTCCCCACTGGGCAGGAAGCTTCAAGAGAACGGCTGTGTGGCTAAGAGTCTACAGCCAGAGAGTTCTGAGCTGAATCCCTTTTCAACACTCACTAGGTTTGAAAACTCAGGATATTTCCTATTCTCTCTCTGCCTTGGTTTTCTCCTCTGAAAATGGGGGTAGTAATAGACTAACTTCATTGTGTGGATTGGTTGAGACAATTCACAAGCTTAAAAGAATGCTTGGCACACAATGACGTGTGCCACTGGTAGCTATTGCTGAATTTTAATTGGCCACTGCTATTTCCTGAGCACGAGCCTGGTGCACAACAGATTCTTAGATGACATTTCTTGAGCGGATACATACATGCCTATGGATAGGTGGTGAGGATTGTATAGTTTTGGTGCACGTAAAGTGGGTAGCCCAGAGCCAGGGGCATCATACATGCTCAGTAGTCTGTTGAATGAATGTTGGATGAACAAGCGACTCCTTGAGGCAGGGAGGGTGTCTGCTCTGTCCATGGACCCTGTCCCTCCCCTACACCTGAGGCCCCTGTACGAGACCTGGCAAGGAGGGGGCACTTGGCATGTTTTCTGAATACAGAGATGATTAGGACAGTGCTTCCTGAGGTCCCTCCTCCCACCCACAGTCCCAGGAGATCATACCCCATCTTGCCGCCTGAGATGTGCACGCGGACACTGTTGATATGGTTGCTGCAGCTGGAACAGGTGGCGGTGGGGAGGCCTGAGGCGGGGTCAAAGCCCAGCTCCAGACCAGCCGAAATGGAGATGCCCGTCACACTCAGGTCAAAGTTGCCCTTGGCTTTGCTGAAGGAAAACACGGACAAAAGAATTGGAGCAAGCACTTTCTTCCCCACTGCCACTCAAACTGCAAGCTTGCGCTGGCAGGTAGGTTTTGCTATTTGAGATGGAGTTCAGAGAGGGGAGGCAGCCTGCCCAAGGTCACACAGCACTGAGCGAAGTGTGGGTCCGTGTCTGCCTGGTGGAACGCTGCTCTGACGCACTGCCTCTGCCCTTGCTGAGTGGCTTTGGGTGTCTTAACAGCTCTGAGGTCCAGTTGCCTCACCTAGACCCTTGGCTAGTGGTGGAACACTGGCTTTGCCCCTAAAAATCTGGGGGCTTGGGGATCCAGGACTTTAATTAATTAATGCTCTCATTAGTGAAATGGGGTTAATAACTTCTCCTTCAGGGATGAAACGAGTTTGGGTAAGATAGTGGACCTAAATGTATTTTGTCAACTCTCCTTCAATATGATGAAGTTTTTTTTTTTTTTTTTTTTTTGCCATCAGTGAGTGAAATGACAGATGCGAAAGAGCCCACGTGAAGAACTAAGCGATTCTTACTGTGGGGAAGGGACAGACCGTGCAGTCCTTGTACGGGAGGGCAGATTCGTGTCCCTCTCCCCAGAGTGCCTTCTCCTCCCTCCATTTTGCCCCTGGACTCCCCACCAAGGAGTCGAGGAAGTGATCGGTCATTCTGAGCCACCACCACTAGAGGGCAGGCTCACCTTGTGGGGAACCCAATATGTAGCGTTAGAGTTGTAGTCTGGATGATTTGCCTCAATGTTTCACCCCTTTCCCTATCTTAGGGGGAGCTGTGTGCATTTCCAGGCTCTTGACTTTGGGCTTGGCCACACGACTTACTTTGGCCAATGGCATATGAGTAGAACTGACCATAGACCCGTTCTGAGTCTAGGCCTTAGGGGGACCTATGTGTTTCCAGTTGCCCTGTCTGCACGTCTGCCATCACCAAGGATATGCTCTGAGTAGCCCACTGGTCTAAGGAGGAGGAGAAAGAGATACATGTGGAGCAGAGCTGCCTCAGCTGAGCCCAACCCAGATCAGCAGAACCCCAGCTGACACATAGATACAAAGTGATAATACATGATTGTTGTTTTCAGGGGCTGAGTTGAGGGTGTTTTGTTACATAGCAATAGCCAACTGATAAAGGGGTAAATGAATGATTCCACTTAGCCTTCCGTCCTAAGCCACATGTACCAACTCTTGACAGTGTTTTGCATTGTGATGTGGACAAATCCTCAGCTATTAATCAAGGCTATGTTGAAACTTCATACATGAAAAATGCCCCCAGGAACCCTGTGGGGACAAGTGGTGATAGGTTAGGCAAAAATTTGGCATTCCTGTGATCCTGGCTCTCACCCCTTCCAAATATCACCAAGAGCTCACCCCACACACTCAATAAACCCCAAGCTTGGAGACTCACATGAATTTCTTTCGGGCCTTCCATTTTCCACTGATCTTCATGTTGGCATTTATGATGGAGACATCAAGGCCCTTATTGGGCACTAGTCTTATCTGGGAACTGGGAAGCTGGAATCCACGGACAACCATGCTGTGAAGAAGAAATGCTCTGTTAGCCTCCTGGGGGTCCACACAAGGACTCAGTTAATGGTTAGTGCAAAACCACCCCCACCCTCAACCCTGCACCGTATCCATTCCAGGAGAACCCAGAAGCTATAAGAGCAGCCTTGGAAACTCTGTGGGCCTTGGGCAGAGTAGCTAGGCTTTAAAGTCAGACAAATCTGCATTAGAATCCTGTTCTTCAGTGTACTATTGGTGACCCTGGGCATGTCACTTAATCATCCTGAGCCTTGGTTTTCTCATTTGTAACATGGGCATAATAATCTCCATCTTGCAGGAAGTGTGACGATCAATGAGGATAATACATGTAATCTCAACTGGCTGCAAGTTCTATAAAAGGCTGGAATGTGTCTCTCTCGGTTCACTGTTATAGCAAAGCCTGCTGCAACACACACATAGTAGGTGCTCAAAAATATCTGTTGAATGAATAGGTGTATAAAATTCTGTAGAAGACATTTGGGGGTTTTCTTCCCACTACCCACACCCCCTTCTCATGGTACTAGAGCTGCCTTTTTACTTTGGGGGAACCCCCCTCACATCTACTCTCTGTCACTCCAAAGAAAGTTGACTTCACCTCCACCTTCACGGGGTGGAGCTTTGGACTCAGGCGCAAGCTAGTTAGTGGAGGGTATTCCCTGGCCACAGTGATTGGTTCAGGGATGTGTACATAACCAAAGATGGGACAATCACAGGGAATCTTAGGGGTTTTGCTTGAATTGCAAGGGAAAAGTGCTCTCCTTCCACAGGATTCTCAGTGCTGAGGAAAGGCTAGTAGCCATCTTGCATCTTCAAGGGGACCCCCTACCTGAGAACTGGACCTTCGCAAGGGAAGAGATGCTGAAAAGTGGCAAGGCAAAAAGAGCGTCCAATGACATTTGGGGCTTACCTCAAGCTGAACCTGAAGCCAGACTATTCCAGAGACGTCTCAAGCATGTAAGCCAATAAATTCTGTCTTGGGCCATTTTAGATTAGGCTTCCTGTCCTTGAAAACAGCCCCCCGCCCAAATCCTATTGTTATATGGGCCTAGCACAGAGTTTGGGGGTTCATGACTCATTCCCCGTGCCTTGGGAGTCATGGTGAGTACCTTCTGTGGCCTCCTCCACACTCAGCTTGGGGGATTATATCCCCTTGGGGTGGTGTCAACACTAGTTTGTGGACCTTAACCTCTCTGAGTTTAGGAGTTTGGGGCTCTGTGGTTTAGGTCTTGGTGGCCCCAGACACCACAAGTTCTGTACGCTAAGGATTGAGCTCCGCAGGCCTTACCTGTAGAAGCTATAATGTCCTTTCCCGAGATGTTTGATCTTGAAGCTTCCCGAGAAGTCCGGGATCTTGATCTTCTCCAGCTCCTTCTGCAGCACGGCCACTCCTTGCTGGCAGGCTGAAGGGTGAGAACAGGGGTGATGGTCAGAGGCTCAGCCTGTCCCTGTCCATACCAGGGGTCAGTGAGGGTTTTCTGTAAAGGCTCAGATAGCAAATATCTTTGGCTTTGTGGCTCATACTGTCTTTGTCACACCCACTCTGCTCTGCTGTGATTGTCGGAAAGCAACCACAGACAATATGTAAATGGATGGGTGTGGCTATGTTCCAATAAAACTTTATTGATGGGACACTAAAATCTGAATTTCATATAACTTGCACGTCATGACATATTATTCTTTTGATTTTTTTCCAACCATTTAAAAATCTAAGATGTAAATGCCATTCTTAGTTCAATGGGCCATACAAAAACACGTGGTGGGACAGATTTGGCCTGAGGGCTGTCGTTTGCCAATCCCTGGTCTAAAATATCACCTTAAACACCCAGTCATGTGTCCTGTGAGTCTTTCTGGAACACTGACTCTGCACCTCCCTTGGCGCTATGCCCTCACGGGTAAGCCACCTCTTTGACTTTTGGCTTCACTCTCCGCAGGATCTTAGTGCCATTCTTTTTTTTTTTTTTTTTTTTTTTTTTTTGGCGACTCTGCCAGGACTCGAACCTCTGCTTGGGCCATTCCTGCTACCTACAAGACCCTCCCCTCCCACCTTCACCTGGTCAACTTCCCGTCCGCTCTATCATCACTTCCCCCAGGAACCTGCTCGGAGCCAGCAGACAAGAGCAATCCGCCTTGTCATCATTCTCATAATGCATCTCCTTTGGAGGCCCCGTTACTTCCCAGTCCCTCCTCCAAGCTTCAGTTTGCTCATCTGTAAATTGTTGCTAGTTAACAATATGTCCCACCCAGGGTTGACATAAAGATGAAAGGAGATGGGGTATGTAAAGCGCCTGGCCCAGATCTGAGCGGGTCAGCATGGGGCTGTTCCAGGCCACGCTTTCCTAGGTCTGGGCCTGGGTGAGTGGCCTGGAGGGAGCCTCTCTGGGGCATCCAGATGGGTCATGTGCACAGTATGGCTGTGCCAAGCCCCTACCCTGGAGGAGACCTTGAAGAAGGCTCTCCTCATTCTCCCCTTCCTCATCACTCAGCCTCCTCACAGGGCCTGGGCTCTGCCCATGCTGGAGACTGAGCCAGGGATCTCGAGGCAGATGGTAAGACTGAGAACCAGCTCTGGAGGGAAGAGAAGGGCCTAGAAGCCCGAGTTGGCAGCTGGGTAGAGAGAGGGAAGGGACCGCAAGGACCCTCGGGGGCCTGAGCGCTGGACTTGGAGTCCTCCAGACCAACACTCTGATCCCAGCACTGCCACCTTGCAGCTCTGTGACCTTGGGCAACTCACCTAGTCTCAGTTTCTTCATCTATACGATGGGGGTAAGAGGGCCTCCTTTGAGGAGCAGTGAGCAGGCTATGCACTGGAATTAAAGGGCTGCACACAGCAGGTGCTCAATAAGTGCTCTTTAAGGGTGGAAGAGGAGGGAAGGAAAGTCATCTGATTACCATAGTCCAGGCCTTTCTGGGTGATCCTGGCCACGACGCCGGGGTTGGTGGCCGCCATCACAGCTGTGCCCAGGGTGGCGAGCACCAACAGGGCTGCCCATCTCAGCACGCTGTCAGGTTCTCTGGCCATGTCTTCGTTCTCCGACGCTGCCAAAGCCTGGAGGCCTTGGAGGGGAGCCAGGGATCTATAAAGGACCTGGCTGGGGAAACGCAAGCCAGTTGGATGTAGAAAGGAGGAAGGAAATGGGTGGGGGCGGGAGAGGGGGAGGACTGCTGCCTGTCATGGTTGGAGCCCCAGGGGCAGCCAGAAGGGGAGCCTGGGAGTTGGGAGGGGGACGCGGTGTGTGTGGGGGTGTGCCTGTGAGTGTGTGCCTGCCTGTGGGTGCGCATGTGTGTGTCTATGTGCGTGTATGTGTGTGTGTGTGGTGTGTATGCGGGGGTCGAGTGTGGGATGTGTGTGTATGGGGGTGGTGGGGGGGCATGTGTGGGATGTGTGTGTGGTATGTGTGTATATAATAGGATGAGACTTCTGGTTCTGGCATCATTCTCCTCCCTAAGCATTCCCATGCCCCTCCCTGAGCCCTCACCCAAATCCCTCCACCTAAAAGCTTCACTGAAGCTGGGTCCTGGGTACATCAGGATTTATTACATTTTTCTTTTTTTCCCCATACTGAGGTATAATGGACACATAAAATTGTATACATTTACAGTATACAACGTGATGATTGCCACAACCAAGCTAATTAACACATCCATCACCTCACACAGCTATCATTTTTGTGTGTGGGGGGGAAGACATTTAATCTACTCACTTGGCAAATCCCAAGTATACAATATAGTATTCTTAACTAATACCATGCTGTACATTAGATCCCCAGGACTTACTCACTTTACAACTGGAAGTTATATTTTCCTTTCCACTTTTGATATCCTTGATATTTTCCATAGTAAAACATTTTAAATAACAGGCCCTTTAGCATTTTCTTGTCCTAAGAGACAGTAGTGGTAATAATTAAATGCTTGAATTTTGGAGTCCAGTATCTTAGCTGTGGTTTTAAATCACAGCTCTGCCACTCTCTGGTGGTTTGACCTTGGTCAAGCCCCTTAACCTCTCTGAAACTCAATTTCCTCTTCTGTAAAGTGGGGATAATCAGAGTACCCTCCCTCCTTGGATTTCTGTGAAGACAGAAAGGGCTTTAAGCCATGTAAAGCACTTAGCACAATGCCCCCCCCGCCCCCGCATAATAAGCACAGAAATGGTAGCTATTAACATCTCTCTGACTTTAAAAGTAATCCAGGTTCATCAGCCAAAATGTGAGAAAGAACCAAGAGAATAAAAATTGCATGCGATCCCCGGTTCTAGAGACAAGCAGAGGTGTTTTGTGTCTTTTAGAGTATCCCTTCCCCCAGTTTTGGTAAGCATAGATAGAGTGTGGTTTTTTTTTTTTTTAATAAACAAAAATGGGATCACACTGGTCAGTTTTGTCAAGTTCCCCTTTCTCAGTAATCAGTATGTAGTGAATGTTCTCCCCCAGCACTAAATATCCTCCTACACACACCATATATCATTGCTTCCTCATCCTACAGTTTTCTTCACCCAGCTTTTGTTTTTGCTCCTTTATACCCCTTCCTTAGACAGATGTGGAACCTGCGGCTTGGAGAGGGGAAATGTTCTTCCTACAGTCACTCAGCTAGCCGCTAGCAGAGCTGTGACTCAAACGCAGACCCCAGACCGCCAGGAGCGTCCCACTTCAGCCTGAGTTCTTCAGCGCTTCCGGGGGTGGGGGGGTGGGGGGGTACGTAGACACTCCCCACCCCCAATCACGCTTTCCGGTCGGGTCTCTGTCTGCTGGGCCCCTGCCCTTCCCTTTGCCCGCAGCCTTAAGCCTTGGGTGGGCGGGAACCCCGCCGGGCAGCCAGCTCGGTCTCCATGGTGATGAGAGAAGGGGCGGGGCTGCGGAGGGGGAGGCCAGCTTCTCTCCTGCTGAGTCCCCATCAGCCCCCTGGCGCCCGGTCTCCCAGACTCTAATTTTATGAAAGTCTAATGAAGCCCGCTGAGCAGGGAGGATGTAAGACCTGAGTTGTTTAGTTTTTGTTTTGTTTTTCTTCCTTCTCTTTGCCCGGTTCTAAAAGGTTCTCCCTTCCTGCCCCCATCCACAACAAGAATCCTTCTGGCTTGTTTAAGAGTGAAAACAGTGGCCCCGTACAGAACATCTACTGTGTGCCAGACGCTTTACATATATTATCTCCAGGCGTAAAAACAACCCTCGAGGGAGGCATGAGAGGGAGGGGTGATTATTCTCCATTTTGGAGTTGAGGAAACTGAGCCATTATGTCCCTGTCAAAGTCACACCGCCTTTCATGGAGACAAGACTTCTTCCCCTTACTTGGGGCAGTTCCCAGGAGGACTTGTCACCCCGAGTCCTCACCCTAACTCTACTTTCCTGGGCCCGCCGAGTCAGATGTCTGCGCCTGTACAAGGAAGATAGCTCTAGGCAACAGCCAAAACACATAGGTGGATGATTTGTCAAAAAATTAGATTTTTAAAAAAGACTTTATTTATTTGAGAGAGAGAGAGAGAGAGAGAGAGGGAAAGCACGAACAGGGGGAGGGGCAGAGGGAGAAGCAGGCTCCCCGCTGAGCAAGGAGCCCGATGCCATGCCAGACTTGAACCCAGGACCCCAGGATCATGACCTGAGCCGAAGGCAGACACTTAACCCACTGAGCCACCCAGGACCCCCCAAAATTAGGTTATCTTACATAGTTTTGAACACTTGCAGTTCTAACTGCCCCAAATTCCCGAGTCTCCTGGCCCAGTCAGGGGTTGCACCTGTGAGGGTGTCAGTCAGGAAAGGAGCATTACGATGGAACTCATGTGACTATGACTTACATTGCCACAAAAACGAAATCTTAAAACCAACTGGCAAGTTTCTGAATAAGTCACCTCCCCCAGCTTCCCTCTGGTGGCTCATGGCCAGCCAAATCCAGATGAGTCCATCAGTGACCCTCCAGCTTTCTTTTCAGTGCTGCCACTGGCTAAGGAGATGCCCCACTGCTTCAGATCTGACTCTCTACTCTGTATGAGTGACAATGTTTTCAACCCAAGTAACAGAAATCCCCAATTTACATTGGCTTCAACAATAAGCACATTATCTCAGAGAAATCCAAAGAGAGAGGGCAGATTAAAGTTCTGGCTGTTTCAGCAGCTAGCAGACATTTACCATTTCTCCATCTCTCTGCTCTGTTAACCTAGTGTCTCAGATTTAGTCTCACACTGACTCCTTTCATGGCTGTAAGATGGCTGTAGCAGCTCCAGCCATCACAACTAAGCAAGCTTCCTCCAAAGCCTCTTCCTCCTCTGCTCTTCTTCCTCTTCTTCTTCTTCTTCTTTTTTTTTCTTTTTGGTCTTTTTCTTATTATTGTAAAATAGTTCAAACATATACATAGGAATAGACTACCCGGGTTTGTAAAATCTTAACATTATGCCATATTTACTTCCTAGACTTTCTTCTAGTTCTATGAATTTTCATATATGTGTAGCTATAGGTAACCAGGACCACATTAAGGATTAGGATATGTCCATCATCCGTGCACACTCTCTTCTGTTATCCTAGCTCAACATGGCTGAAAGCATAAGGAAAATACAGTATCTCTGCAGGAATTCTAAGTGGGTCGATCAAGAGTTGGTGAATTCAGGGGCTGGTTTTGTCCATTTTTCTACTCTGTGGTCCTTAGGATGTTGACTTTTCCCAGAGGAAAGTGCATTGGGTTTGGAGCTGGTGGACCTGGCTCTATTGTTCCAGCCAGGCTACCCACTCTGTGTGACTCTGATCAAGCTCTTTGACCCTTCTGAAATTTATCCTTATTTAAAGATGGGGAAATAGTGCCCATTATGTGGTGTGTTCTGGGGATTAAATGAGGTAAAGTGTGAATCAATTTGCACAGAGAAGTTGCTCAGTGCCTAGTCTTAATTCAGCTTTCATCACTAACTGGCTGGAGAGTCCTGGAGCCCCCAGGAAAACACACCAGGGGCACCACAAATGGAGCTCTCAGTCCTCTGAGCTTTGGGTTTGGGCTGGGTATGTGCGCGAGAGAGGAATCCATGGCTCACATCGACTCCTTTTTTTTTTTTAAATTTTTTATTGTTATGTTAATCACCATACATCATTAGTTTTTGATGTAGTGTTCCATGATTCATTGTTTGTGCATAACAGCCAGTGCTCCACGCAGAATGTGCCCTCTTTAATACCCATCACCAGGCTAACCCCCAACCCCTCCCCTCTAGAAACCTCAGTTTGTTTTTCAGAGTCCATCATCTCTCATGGTTCGTCTCCCCCTCTGACTTACTCCCCTTCATTCTTCCCCTCCTGCTATCTTCTTCTTTTTCTTTTTTCTTAACATATATTGCATTACTTGTTTCAGAAGTACCGATCTGTGATTCAACAGTCTTGCACAATTCACAGCGCTCACCATAGCACATACCCTCCCCAATGTCTATCACCCAGCCACCCCATCCGTCCCAGCCCCCACCACTCCAGCAACCCTCAGTTTGTTTCCTGAGGTTAAAAATTCCTCATACCAGCGAGGTCATATGATACATGTCTTTCTCTGGTTGACTTATTTCACTCAGCATAACACCCTCCAGTTCTATCCACGTCGTTGCAAATGGCAAGATCTCGTTCCTTTTGATGGCTGCATAATATTCACATCGACTCCTTTTGTGGTGCTGTGAGCAGTGACCACTTCCCACACAGAAAAGCAAATCAAGAGCATGGGCTGGGAAACTTATAGGCCTGGGCCCAAGTCCCAGCTCACCCTCCACCTGCTCCATGTGTGAGTTTGAGCCAGCAGCCCAACCTGGCCGAACCTCAGCTTCCTCCTTTCTCCCCACTCGATCCTCAAGCACAGGTCCCTCATGGAGATCCAACCCCAAGGTACAGTATCTAAAAGGCAATCAGACACTGCACTGTGTAGATAACCCCTCGGGAGGGTGTCTCGCCTACCTTGTCATGCTAAAAATGTGTCTGTCTCTTGAGCTTTGGCCTCATAAAAGGGCTCCTTTGGGTACCCTACTCCTGGAGGTGTGGGCAGATCCTCCTCATGGTAATTTTGCCACTGCTGTACTTTCTGCAGTCCCAGAGCAGATCACAAGATGTATTTCATGGTAAACAAATGAAAGAAGGGTCAGAATCCAGAGCATAAATTCCAGATGGTAAGTGTTTGGAGCCTGAGAAGGACAAGTGCAGCCTGAGCTGACAATCTTGCAAGGCTTCCAAAAGGAGGCGATCTTGGCCCTGGGGTGGAAGCCCACCTGGGTGTGGGGCTGGTAAAAGGCTCGCTTCTCACACTGAAGCCACTGGATTTGTGCAAGGGATAGTTTCTGCAAAGAGCCGAAGTCTGGGAATGGAAAATAGAATTGCTCTCCCAGGGGGGAACTGGGAGAGTGTTGCTCTTACTTCTTCCCCTCTGAAGAGCTTCACCTCTGTTACAACATTGGCTCTAGCAGGCTGGGCCTCCTCCAGCCTGAGGGAGGATCACAGGAAGTCAAGCAACATGCTGTTGCCAAATGGCCAAGGGCCTCCAACATCCAAGGCCAATTCCCCTCAGCCTCATTAGGAAATCGGTATGTGTGCTCAGCCAGCCCCAGGGTCCGAGGAGGGTCCCAGAGAGAACTGTTGCATGGCTCCCTGCCTGGCCCTGCCCAGGGGTGGTCAGAACACAGAGCTGGAGACAGTCAGGCTGGGACTAAAGGGGGCCACTGAGGAAGTGCCCCTCTGGATGCCAGGCTCCTCATCCATAAGAGCAGTCTCCATCTTTGGAGGGCTTAAACCGTGCCAGAGACAAAGCCAAGCCTTTGGTAACATTGTCTTTTAATCCTCACCCATCCTGGAAGGTAGGTCTCATTGGCTCCATTTCACAGATGAGAAGACTGAGGCTCAGAGCAGTTAACCAGCTCTCCCAAGGCCACGCAACTGAGAAGGGGCAAAGGGATGTTGAAGGCTTCAGAATGAAGGGAGGGGGGCATCCTGCTGGGTTGTGTGATGGGGCGACTAAGGAATGCCAGGACCCCTGGAGAAACATGTCCCCTGTGCAGGCACCTGCCATGGATAGGTGTGGGGGTTGGGCAGACCAGGTGGAGGGAACGGCTCCAGCAAAGGCACTGAGGGTGAAAATCCCCCCTGGGGCTGCAGTGTGGACTGCAAGGGGGAAGGTGCTGGGGAGGCCCATGGGGTCATGGTGTGGTCTTGCTCTTGGAGACCAGTGACCGCCCAAGCTTTTCAAGTATGAAGGTCCTCCCATGACAGTAGTTAGATCTGCAGCTGGTAGACTGAAGAAAACCACTGGAAATTCAGCAACCCTTTTAAATGAATTTACATTTTTCTGGCTTCCAATTTGCAGGCATTTGAAATAAGGAAGCCAGGGGTCATGTTTGATGATATTTGATCTTTTGGCTAAGGGACCTCTGAATGCCCAAAACTTGCCCTGCCTGTTCCCTGCCCCCTGGGCCTCACTACACCTGGGAGCTGAACCCAGAGACTGTCGTGCTCAGAAACAAAGCAACGATTCATTGTCAGCTGGGCCAGTGGCCAGTGGCTGAGCTGGGCAGGAGCACAGAAGGCGGTGGGATGGGCCTCTCCCCACCGTCCAGCCCTCCTCCCAGCCTCCAGCTGACCTCTGTGCAGCAGAGGGTAGAAATCCCAAGGATGACTGGTTTGGCTAGAGGGAGAGAGGGAGAGAGTTTGGGAGTCCTTACTGGTCACATAGCACGATTTGAAGAACAGAAAAAGGGAACCTGGATGTGTGTGGCCCTTTAGCCACAGTCCTTAGGAAACAAGGGCCTACCTGTGTCCTAGATCCAGCCAACCAGAGCAGCAATTCCAAATTCCTAGGGGTGGGGGAAGGACCAGAGAGCAGAAAGGCAGGTGGAGATGAATGTTTCTTCCCCCCAAATGGGGATGTGTGGGCCCCCAGACAATCCTTCGTGGCTACGTGGGTTTGCAGACCCTTGGGAAGACTTGAGAGCCTCTGTCCCCAACCCCACTGCCAGTATCCACAGCCTGGGGGCCAGGACTTCCTTGGTGACAGTTGGAACCATTAAGCATTCTGAACAGAGATGTGCTTTTGTTATTAGGTAACATTTATGGGGCACTAACTGTATGCAAACAAAACACAATGCCACCTGTGCTTCTCAATTAATTTTTTTAAAGTTTTTATTTATTTATTTGTCAGAGAGAGAGAGTGAGCACAAGCAGGGGGAGCAGCAGACAGAGGGAGAGGGAGGGGCAGACTCCCCGCTGAGCAGGGAGCCCGATGCAGGGCTTGATCCCAGGACCCCGGGAACATGACCTGAGCTGAAGGCAGACACTTAACTGAAGGCAGATGCTTAACGGACTGAGCCACCCAGGCGTCCTGCCTCTCAATTAATTTTAATAAAGTTCACTCTGCCTTCACATTAGAGGCCTGGAGAACTTCCCATGATTCCATAAGTCAAACTTTTATCCTTTCCATAAATTCCTTTTCTGCTCCAGTTAGCCACAGTTGGCTTTCTGTTGCTTGCAGTTAGGAACCGGCTTAGTGCAATGCCCGTGTCTGTGTGTCTGTCTGTGTGTCTGTGTGGCGTGCACGAGCACGCCCATGTGGCTGGCAGGAACTGAGGGGGCCACGGCAATAAGTACCTCCCAGGGCAGTGTCCTGGGGTCTGTTCCCAGATGTCTGTAGTCTGTAGGTGGAGGCTTCTTTTCTGAGAGAAAAGACAGACAAGCATTTACAAAATGTTTCTATGTACCAGATATCATTTAATTCTTTCCGCCAAGGAAGGGGGTAACATTCATTTTCACAGCTAAGACACTGAGGGTCAGGAAGGTCTGCAGGCCTCAGAGCTACTAACTGGTGGAGCTGAGGCGAAGTCCAAACCGTGGCCTCCTCCCAAAGAGCCCACTTCCTGCTGCTGGAAGCTCCCACAGGTGGCCTGAGGACTAAGCGGCTGGGAGGTAGCCAGGTGGGGGCTGACAGAGCTCTGTGACGATGTCTAAAGACCCGGAGAAAACCCTGGCCACACACCATCCCGCCGTGCTTCCCAGCACATCAGCGGATTCTGACCTGGGCCATCCTTGGCATCCGAAAGACATGAGTCCAGGAGGCTCCTAGAGAGCCGGCCGGCCATCAGGAGCCTACTGTGCACCTTGTCCTGTGCTGTACATTCCCCAAGGGGTGAACACCACGGGACTTCTGCCTGGAACTTGCTGGCAATGCCCCTGGGAATGAGATGACCACTGTAAAATGGGGTCGCCCTTGCTGAGCTCCTACTGTGTGCTGGGCCAGGGCTGGCTCTCTGCACTCTTCAGGGGGCACAGCTGTTGATGACTGGGAATGCTCAGTCTCTGCTCAAGCCCTGTCTGCTCGAGTCTGGCTTTGCCAACTCTGCTTCTTCCGTCTCCCGCCATCTGAGGAGGGGGCTGCAGGGTTTTCTTGGGTTCTGGATGGCAGAATGAGGAAGAAGAGGGTGGGGAAAGACCAAGGTCCTAGGGCTAGCTCTGGGGGACAGATCTGTAATCTGCATGTGAACAATGGGGATTCTTACCTATTTTGTTCCCTGATTTATTCCAAGATGGCTCCTGGCATATAGTAGGTGTTCAGTAAATGCCTGTTGGTTGGACGAAGAGAGTTTAAAGAAGGAGAAGCCCCAGAGAGCTGGTAGTGATGGAGGCAAGGGAAGTGGCTGGCTGAAGAGAAATATTAGACAGTGTTTTGTGGACTGCATATTCCCTTCAGGATGCTCTAAATCACAGTGAAGAACTTGAGGTGTTTTAAAATTATTTGGGGCATGTTGGGTGTGTGAGCCTGTGACTTCCACATGCCATGCAGTGGACCAGTAGGCTCATACATCCATCAGCTGGATTTTTACAACAATCTTTCTAAACATTACTGAGCACTTAAATGATGCCAGGTATGTTCTAAGCTCCTTGTATGTGCATACATGCACATATACACAGACAACATCCTGATGACGTAGGCACCATCTTTATCCCCATGTTACAGAGGAAGACATGGAGGCACAGAGAGGTTGAGTAACTGGCCTAGGGACACACAGTCAGGAAGTGATGAAATGGCCCTCTGGTGGGCCTTACACTCCTCTACAAAAGCCCAGGCAGCAGAGGAGGGGCGAGCGGGCTCTGAGGGGCAGGCTACCCTGAACGGGGCTTCTGAGTCTGAATTTCTGTCCCTCCGTCCAGTCTCCTGCCTTGTCGGCCCAGGGAGGAAAAATAAACATTGACAGGACGAGACTCAGGGTTCATCTGGGGGCTGCTGCTTTCCCAGCTGTGAAGTGGCTGCCTCCTCCCCGCTTCCTCAAGCCAGCGCTGGACTCCAGTGGTTCCAAGGAACCAGGACAAAGTGTGATCATCGTGGGAAAATTAGCAAACACAGGAGAAAAAGAAAATACAGATGAGCTGGAAGTCCTCCACTCAGAGAGACTCCTGGACGCCATTTATGATGCTTATCTGGCAGTTTGTCTTTCTACCATGTGTGCAGGTGTGTACGCAATACACACACACACACACACACACACACACACACACAGAGAGGCTTATTTTACAGTTGTAGAACATGAGCATTCATTGGACAATAGGGCGAATGTTATTCCATCTCATTAGATGTTCTCGCACGATGCATTTTTCTTTAGCTCTCACATTGCTGGTTTATTTTAATTTACAAGGGTATTATACACCGCACCTCTTGCAATTTGTGTTTTGTGATTGAGTTATAATTTGCATAAAGTAAAAAGCACCTTTTCTGGTGTTTACATCTGAATTTTGAGAGACTTGCAGCTGTGTAATCACCACCATAATCAATGTCTAGAACAGTTCATCCCAAACAAGTTCCCTGTACCTATTTGGAGTTGGCCCCTCCCAACACCCCAGTGCCTGGCAACCACTGATGTTTAATTTTCCTATAAATTTGCCATCTCTGGAACGTCATATAAAAGGGACCATAGAGTATGCAGCCTCTGAGTCTGGCTTCTTTCACTTTACACAGTGCATTGAGGTTAACCAGGAGCTGCATCTGTCAGCGGTGTTTCTTTTTATAGCTGAGTAATAATCCACCGTATGGATGTACCACAGTTTGTTTATCCATTCACCAGTTGAAGGAATCTGGCTTGCTTCCAGCTTTTGGTGATTATGATGACAGCTGCTATAAACATTCATGGACAGGCTTTTGTGTGAACTTATGCTTTTATTTCTCTTGTGGAAACTCCTTGGGGCAGGATTGCTGGATCCTATGGTATGAGCCTAAGCATATGCAACATTTTTTTTGGACTACGTAAAAAAAGGAAATGCATTTTATTTGTGCTTTTTGATATTGTTATAGCAACTCAAATAATAAACAACTAACAGCTT